AATTTTTGACAAACTTTCCAACAAAATGAACTGTTTTGCAGTTTGTGTGACTTGCAACTTCCAGGAGTAATAGACATGTCAAACTTGCAGTGAACCTTCAGTTGACTTCCTCCCCACACCTTCCAAGTTTGGCAAGGGTCGGATTTAGCAGCTGACTAAAAAGCAATTTTGGGGGGGGTCTGCTTTGGGGGCTATAACTTGGATGTCCAAATCCAGTCTTTGCCAAACATGGTGAGGGTGGAGAAGAGAGTCAGCCGAAGACTTGCTGCATGCTTGGCATCTCTAACTTACATGGGGGCCATTCTATCACTCCAAGGAATTGCAAATTGCACAAATCACGAAGCATGCGAATTTCCAGCACAGATAATTGTTTGGCATTTCATTTCATTTTGGGCAGTTGCATTTCCCCAAACTGCCCCCAAATGGACCACAAAACAGCCTGATTCCTGTTTTGTTGTTCTTGTTCATGCTTTGTTTCATGCTCATCTCTGATCAGGATGTGAGGGCCAAAATTATACACTTCACAGATTTGGGTGGTAATTCTTTCACAGTGTTGTGTCACCTCAGGCTGCATATTTTGTGGGGAAAGGTTTAGTATGTTCCCCTGGGGTTAATAAAAAAAATATAGACAATAGCATGGTAGGAAAAGCCTCAGTTGAACTTCATGGAACTCTTCTGCAACAAGGAAGAGGATAGGCAATGGAAAGTTTCCATGTTTCATTCTCTTGGCTTTTTTTTTGGGGGGGGGAATATTTCAGGAAAACTCATTTAACCAAATATTTCCTCTCTTACATGTGATGGAGGGAAGCTGAGAATTGTACAATGTGCTAGACAGAGGTGTGGTAAACTCTCCTGGGGGCACCCAATTTGTGGGTGAATAAGTTGGATGTCCGATATCAAATCTTCACCAAAGTTGGCAGGCATGTTAGGGGAAAACATAGAAAGCTCTGTTGTGATTCTGGAGTCTCTAAGTACCTGGGGGGAGCTTTCCTGGGGGCGTCCTTTTTGTGAGTATTTAACTCAGGGGTCTGTGATCCAATGTTCACCAAACTTTCAGGATTTGTAGGAAATTGTCTGAGGACACTTCCCTGCAAATATGGTGTCCCTAGGTCATTGGGAGCAGTGTCATAGCCATCTAAAGTGCAGACAAATTTACAGATCGATCTGTCAATTTGTCAAAGAATATTTGTATTCGTTGATCCGTTAACCTTGATGAATAACGCATCGAAATGAATTGCCATTTTTTAAATTTATCCCCCTCTCTAGTTGCGAGCCCTCTGAAAGAGTGTTTTTCACTGAAGTTCTTTTATCTCTAAAATGATCTCTCTTTTGTGCCTGGGTGGAGAAGGGGAAATCGGAAGTCTGTTTTGGCTTTAGGCCACTTCAGCTCTCCACATTTTAATTACTTCGGCAGGAGAGAAAGCCGTGGACTTCAATCACAGCTGAAATTCTAAGCTCCCTTGTAGTGCTAAACCGCTGAGTCAGGGAGAGACCATAACAACGTTATGGCATGCTGGAAAGGGAGGGGAACCAGGTAGTGGAAGGTATATCTGAGAATTATAGAAATCCCAACAGGGGTTTCAAGATATGAGAAATGCTCGCAGAATAGCTTACCAAGGCCAGCCCTCCTCGTCTGTTGCAATAGCTGAGCAAAGATTTGAACCCATGTTTGTGACCTCATTCACTGTCTTTCACTAGCACCAATAGGAGAAATCCATCATGTAATAATATCAGAGGCAAAGTAAGAATTCACTGGGCAGAGATAAGGAGCATGTCATGGTGAAATGTAACAGATTCAAAAGCACTCAGTCAATGTGGGCAATATTAGGTAAATACAATTGCAGTCTAAGTCAGTTTCCTATCATCCTGGGTTTTCAGGATTTTTTGTTTTCATCAAAACATGATGATCCTCCACTGGTCCAAAAAGAGAGATAAAGTAGTGTAAAAATATAATTATTTTACGGTAATATTTTGGCAGTTCTCCAGAGTCATGTTTGGATTACAACCACAAGATTATTCCAGATGTCGCAGGCATGGAGTGAGGGTGGGAATAATTTTGAGAGAGCCTAGGATTCTGGGAACCAACCCCTTTTAAAAGCGTAACATGAACATTCCCCTTTAAAAAGCTGTTTGGCTGACCTGGCTATCATTATTGGCCTCCTATAAGAATTCGTTTTCCTGCGGTACAATCCAGCCACAGATGTGAAACACCTAACATCTTAAGCTTCTCATCTCAAACTTTTCCAAATATATCATACCCTGAACCTCGACTACAAGCCACTCTAAGTAATCTTATTTCTCTGCAGACTGTCCGTTCTTTTTTCCCTTCTCACTTCTTCATCTGATTTTTCATCATGCTGTTTTCCAATAAGAGATAGGATTTTAGAACACTGCTGTTATTGATTGAAGTATTTGTCAAGCACCAGAGTATTAGGAATATTAATACAGCTTAGAACTGAACAAAATTTATGTGTGAAAATTACTGCTACACTTGTATGTATAGTGTTTATTAGTTGCAATGCCTTCTGGTTTTGCTTTCTGTTTATTTTATCTCTAGCTTTACCCAGAACAGTGTTTTAGCGGTATAACTAGAAGTGATGATATCATACTGTTTCTTGGGGATTAAAAGAACTGTACAAAATTTGCAAGTTTGCATGCATGTTCAGATTTTTTTTTAAAAAAAATGGCTGTCTGAGCAAAGGAAACTGACATAGTTACTTATCTAGGCAGAGAACATCAAGTCTGGCTTTAAGTATGTACTTATCTGCTATGTAACTGCCTAATGTAAAGATACTACCCAGAAAAAAATTATAATACTCTTTTTCCCCGAAAATAAGATTTAACCTGAAAATAAGCCCTAGTATGATTTTTCAGGAGGCTTGTAATATAAGCCATACCCCCAAAAGGTAAAGGTTCCCCTTGACATTTTCAGTCTAGTCGTGTCCAACTTTAGGGGGCGGTGCTCATCCTGTTTTCAAGCTGTAGAGCCAGCGTTTGTCCAAAGACAGTTTCTGGAGGTGGTACTCCAGCGTAACTAGGGAATACTGTTTTACCTTCCCACTGAGGTGGTACCTATTTATCTACTCGCATTTGCATGCTTTCGAACTTCTAGGTTGGCGAGGAGCTGGGACAAAGCGACGGGAGCTCACTCCGTTGCGTGGATTCGATCTTACGACTGCTGGTCTTCTGACCTTGCAGCACAGAGGCTTCTGCAGTTTAGCCCACAGTGCCACCGTGACCCTTCTACCAAGCCCCAATTAAGTGAAACCTGGTCCTCCACCATTGTGCAGCAAACAGAAGATGATATGACTATATTTGAATAAATTTAGATTTTTGTACATAAAAATAAAGTAAAATATATCCTGAAAATCAGCCCTTTTGGAGCAAACATTAATATAAGACCCTGCCTTATTTTCGGGGAAACACGGTAGGAGAGTGTCTTCATTCATATCACAAACGTGGCTATCCTCTGGGTGCTAGGAGCAACACTGCCTCTTGAATTTGGCCAATGCACATGGCTTAACATTTTCATTGATTCATTTTTGAAACTAGGCTACCAAACTTTTCAAATTCCTCATGAAGGAAAGGTCCGTCTGTTATTCCGCAGGGATGGGGGACTCAAGTCCCAGAACTCGCTGTCAAGTCAGACTTAAGTTGCAAACTCAACTCAGACCCTGGGCTTGTTCTTGCAATGTTCAGACTCAACCCATGACTTGGAGTCCAACTACTCCACCATTTTTTTCTGGGGGAAAAAACCTTGTTTTTTAATATGGACCTAGATTTAGGCCTAAAGACTTGCTAACATCCCCTTTATCCTATGAGATGGTCACTATTCTAGTGACATACAGTTTATGTTTAGAAAAGAATACTTAGAACAAGACTTTCCTTCCTGAATCCAAATTCAGCTGCATTGAAATGCCGTTCTTACAATAAATACATATAGCCATGATGTCTCGGAAATAAGTAAACTGCACTTGGAAGTAGGGTCTCTTACTGTGTTGCCATTACATGCTCTGGTGTTTGGATTGGGGTACTTGTGTACTTTGCAGTAGGCTTATTATGAGTAATACTTGAGAGCGCCCTCATTACAATTCAGCTATAGATAAGTACTTTGAAATCCTACTAGTTTCAGAATGTTTATCTTTCCAGTGGGGGGGGGAAATGAACTTAAAAGTGAAGGGCTTAGGCTGGGTTTTATAGATGCATTCTGAAATAATCATATTCCTGCAGGAAGTAGTTGAGTTGTGAGGTGCTGGCTCATTGGAAGAAACAAAATTTGAATATTTTCCTTCCCATGTATTCGTGAAGGCTTTCACAGCCGGGATCTAATGGTTGTGGGTTTTTCGGGCTCTTTGGCCGTGTTGTGAAGGTTGTTCTTCCTGACGTTTCGCCAGTCTCTGTGGCCGGCCTCTTCAGAGGACTGGAGTAGGAACTCTGTCCATGCTCTGTTGGTGTTTGTTGGATAGTATTTATAGCTGTGGGAACAGCTTTTTTCTTTTCTCAGAAGGTAGGGTGATCAGCATGTTTTTGTTGTGATGAGGGGGGAGAGGGAGAGATTATCTGTCACTGTGATTGATGGGTATCGTTAGCTGGTCTTTTTTGTGCAATGATCCCTGGCCCTTGTGGCTGGGTAAGAGTTCGTTGACCTTTTGAAGGTTGTATTTTTCAGAATGAGGCACCAGGCCATGTTTAGTTTCAGGCCTTCTTCTTTCCTGTTGAAGTTTTGTTTATGTTTATGGATTTCAATGGCTTCCTTGTGCAGTCTAACATACAGATTGCTGGTGTTGTCCAGTACTTCAGCTTGTACTTCATGTCCAGCTTGTTTAAGGGCATGTTCAGCTACTGCTGATTTTTCCAGTTGCTTTAATCTGCAGTGTCATGTTCTTTGATTCTGGTGTGAATGCTGCGTTTTGTGGCCCCAATATATACCTTTTCCTTCCCACTTTGTTCTTATTGCTTAATCACCTGGAACTGTGCTTGCTTGCTTTTTTTGGATCCAGTAACATTTGCTACGTTTTCCATTTCAGGTTCTTTCTTTCCTGAAAGCAAGCCCTCGGACACCATCTTTAAAATTGCTTTTTGGCTGGGCTATCTCAACAGCTGCATCAACCCTATCATCTACCCTTGCTCAAGTCAGGAATTTAAAAAGGCGTTCCAAAATGTCTTAAAGGGTCAGTGTCTCCCACGGAAGTACTCAGCCAACAAATACTCCCTCAGCTTCAACCTCAACCACCCAAGCAGCCACGTCGCAGAAGCTCCGAAAGACATTGTCCGTATTCCTGTCAGTTCGGGAGAGAATTTCTACAAGATCTCGAAATCGGATGGCATGTGCGAGTGGAAGCTTTTTTCGGCCGTGCAGAACATGTCAACCAAGAGGACTGCTTCTGATAAAGACAGGTCCGGCTGTGCTACGGCCAAAGTCAAGAGCAAAGGTTTTCTAAGGGTGTGCTGTTGTGCTGGCACTTCAGGAAACAACACCCCGAAGGACCAGAAAGTGCCCACCATTAAAATACATACTGTCTCCGTCAGTGATAATGGGGAGGATGTCTGAAGGCATCCATCTTGCTGGTGGGACAGAGAAAGGTTTTACATGCTACACTTCCATTTTGGTAACCTGAGGAAGAGGGGACTTTTCCCCCCCATAAGGTAATACAAAAAGGTGATACCAATAAGGAGAAAACTCAGAAACAGTATGAAGAACACAAGCTTTGGATGAATCCTGTATGGATGGAAATTTGGGGACAAAATTCATCCAATGTGATTTAAATTCCACTGGAATTTGTGGGCTTTTGAAATAGGCCCATCTTGGGGCTGGACTCCTTCAGTTATTCTGATAGTATTTCCTTTCTGTTTTAAAAGTTCTGTGATTCATTTTATTTTGTTTCAAATCGTCTTAGCTTTTATTCTTAATGATCAACAGAGAGGGAGAAAGAAACAGTATTATAATATATCCTAAAACAGAGAAGCATTAATTTATATATTTTGGTTTCCATCACAGCTACTTTAAATTTTGTGACACGAAACTTTGTTGCAAAGTAATCATGCATTTGAACAGGGTATGTCATGTGAGGTGAAGGAGAAAGGTGTTGACAGTAACATTTGAGTCCTGTGATATGGTGAGTACCGTCAAAACTCTCATGATACAATTGGGAACATAAGACTAATTCTGAGAACTTAATCTCTTTTTTGACTTTGGGAGTTATAGTTTATAATCTGTTTCTTCATGATGACATATTATCCCATGTGGCCAGGACAGGGTCTGTGAACACTGGCTACATAGAATTGATCGCATGGCTCTTTCACAGTTGCTGGATGCCCATCAGGTGGAAATGATCTACATCAGTAGTTCCCTACATTGACTTCTCAGATATTCGTGGACTAAAACTCGCAGAAGCCTTCAACACTACTTGTGTTAGCCAGGATTTCTGGGAGTTGTTGTCCAAGGACCTCTGGGGACTCAAGGCTGGGAAGCACTGGTCTACATGATCACTTGTATGCATGTGGTTAGATATTTATACACATACCCATGGCATCAAGAAGAAATTGATCCCACATGTCTTACTGTACATATGCCCCTCTCTCTGTATTTTTTTTTGGGACCATTTCCTTAATCAAACAGGAGTTTGAAAAATCCCAGTGGTGGGGTTTGAGACTTCACCTGCTCTGTGTTCCTTTGTGTCACATGTTGTGCAGTAAATTCATTCTTCAAGTGCAATGTATATGATGGAACATATTAAACAGCAAAATCACTGAATAATAATTATGTCATAAAACTGCCTTCCGAGTCTTTGGAATGTTTCATAGTTCATTGATCCATACATGTTGCAGAATGTATGATATTCCATTAGGCCAAACCCATCAACAAGACTGCCCTCATGGGTCTCCAATATATATATTTGCAATCTTTTGATCCTTCTTTCTGGAATGTATTACCATTCTTTTGGAGACAATAGGAATGTGAAAAATTCTCAGTCTTAATTGCATACATATATATATTGCAATCTCTTGATCTGGAATGTATTGCCATTCTTTTGGAGACAAATAATAGGAATGTGAAAAATTCTAAGTCTTAATTGCATGGCTTTTTCCCCCCAAATCACATTTGCATTATTATCCTGTCATTGTTTCTTACCCGGCTGCAAGACTACTTTTCTTGCTTTGAAATTCATATACATTTTTGTGATTTTTTACTAGTGTGCATATCTGTTTGCACATTTTACCTAACAACACACCTGGCCCTCATTGACTAATGCATTTCTTCCAATGGTTCACATTTTAAAATGTCTGCGTTGTTTTATGTATATACTATTTTTTTCCAGAATGGTCTATAATCTCTGTGAATCTTTATGGTAAGGCATGTTTCTTCCCACAACAAATTTCAGCAGGTGTGTAACATGCTATTATGATTAAGAATGCTGAATTGAAGAAAGACTTTTTTCCCATCCTTAAAGTACATTTATTAGGATAATCTGTCAAGCACTATTTTGGAACAATTCAAAGGTGTTAGCTTTGGAAGATCATTGTTTGCATGTATCAACAACATTTATTTAGATCGTTGGGAAAGAGACACCCAGCATGCTGTAAAATAGCTCCAGTTTATGAAGTATGAGTTAGAGTTGTGTAGATTTGTGGTTTTGACCACAGGTCCCAGAATTCCATGTGGCAGTTCTGTCTGAGGGATTATCCAAAAACAAACAAACAAAACCTACACAAATCTCTGCATTTCTACTAGGGATACACAAGATAAAGATAATCATTATTGAACTATTATGCATTCCAGCCCTTAGGAAACTCACAGTTTCAGGGTTCAATACAAGGCCTAAATCAACATACCAGAAGAGAGATGTATTTGCCTACTACTGCTGGTAACAACAACAACCATCATCATCATTGTCATCTTAGGTCTGGAAAGCTGGCAAGAGACCATAGGTAAAGGTAAAGGTTCCCCTTGACAATTAGTCCAGTTGTGTCTGACTCTACGGCATGGTGCTCATCCCCGTTTCCAAGCCATAGAGCCAGTGTTTTTGTCTGAAGACAGTTTCCATGGTCATGTGGCCAGCGCGACTAGACATGGAATGCCGTTACCTTCCCACTGAAGTGGTACCTATTTATCTATTCACATTTTACATGTTTTTGAACTGCGAGGTTGGCAGTTGCTGGGATAAGTGACAGGACCTCACTCCGTCGCATGGATCTGATCTTACAATGGCTGGTCTTCTGACCTCGCAGCACAGAGGCTTCTGAGGTTTAAATCGCAGCACCACCATGTCCTAGCAGAGACCCTATGGATTATCAAATCCAGCCCCTGTCAAGGGGGTACATTGGGGGATTGAACTCCCAACCTCAGAGATCTAAACCACTGAAGTATCCAGCTGTTACCCTCTCCATCATCACTCTGCTCCTAGATTGAGCTCCCAATCACAGAGATCTAAACCACTGAACTATCCAGCAGTTACCCTCTCCATCATCACTCTGCTCCTATAAAAAGCCACAAGTCTGAAGTGGAGAGACATACAGAATCACAGGCTGAAATCCTGTTGTGCATTGTAGCAAATTGCACAAGGGTAGGCCCATTCAATGGGGATTTGGTGATTCAGCTCCTCCGCTCTTAAGTTGGTTCAACCCTCAGCTAGAGCCACAAGTCTGAAGTGGAGAGACATACAGAATTACAGGCTGAAATCCTGTTGTGCAGTGTAGCAAATTGCACAAGGGTAGGCCCGTTCAATGGGGATTTGGTGATTCAGCTCCTCCATAAGTTCCATTGGTTTAAATGGACCCACTCTAGTTGTGACTTACTACAATAGAATGCGCTCATTTGAGTCAATGGAGCATTCGGAAGAGTTGACTCACCCAATGCCCACTGATTCAATGGACCTACTATAGTGTGACCTACAACACCAAGCAACAGGATTTCAGACTTACAGAGTTGGAAGGGACTCTAAGAGTCATTGAGTTCGACACCCTGCCAAAGCAGGAATTTCACCGCTAAAGCTGCCTGACATGTGGTCATCCAAACTCTGTTTAAAATTTCTGATGAAAGAGAGTCCACCATCCTCTAAGGCAGTCCATTTCACTATCAAGCTGTTCTTACTGTCAAGAGCTATCCCATGAAGGCTGTCCACGCAGAAACCCTGGTAGCACTGTTCCTTGTGTGGAGAACCTTCATGTGTAGAGGAGCCTTTCCCCTTTAGACCATTACTTTTCATGAGAGCAGAACAATGATGGAGAGGAAGCGGTTAGCACACTTACCTGCTCTTAAGTTGGTTCAACCCTCAGCTAGAATACTTGGGCAGGTCTAAAGTCAGCAAAGAACTGGATTTCATCATTTCTGACAGCCCAAAATACGATGATTTGGATCCACCTTCAATGAACAGATAAGAAAAGGTACAAGACTTTGATTTAGGAATGCCCAGACATTGTCTAAAAGAGGAGGCTTCCAAATAGTACATTATCAGTCCAATAAGAAGTTGATCATTTGGATTAAGTGTTAGGAAATGGATCATATTTCCCCACAGGTTGCATCTACACTATGGGCGTCTATTAGGATAACGCAAACTAATTTATGTTTCCCTACAAAACGTTCTGTAAGCACTGCTGGTTGCAATATTCTGCGCTCTGGACTTCACGGTGTAGCCTAGGAGAGGCTGCCAAACCAGTGTTAAATGTGTAATCTTGCTCTGTCTGCAGAGATTTATATCAACTGATGTGGGATAAATTAAATTGCTTTACTTGGGATTACCAAAACATAAATCAATCCTCTGCAACATGAATGAAACAACTAGTCTTTCTGCTGTTGACGTCAATAAGAGTGTTTTCCATTAATGCCTACATTCTTAAAACCAATAAAGTGCTCTCTCATTAAACCAGATTACCGACATCAAGATGATCAGAAATAAAATAAAGGAAGGGGCCACTGTAATGCAGAACCCTGAATGATTTCAAAAGATAGTTCAGTGAAGACAAGAGGGAATCCTTTTATATGGTTTGTCAGTGGAAAACACTCTTCATACAAATAGAAGTATGTGGAATATTCCCTAATAGGGTGAATCCTCTGCTATTCTCATATATGTATAATTATCATTTGACAATGAGAACACCAGATAATGTCCAATCAGACACAGAGGACATCATCATTGATCAAATGCCATGGATAAGGCCATCCATCTCAACTAAAAATCTGATGGATTGGATCCTAACTAGGGAAAACATTAGTGGGTCCCGATGAAACTAATAGGACTTGAGTAGAATTTTATTCTTGGGTTTGGTTTAGTTTTCCTTTAAAAATCTGATGGATTGGATCCTGACTAACTAGGGAAAACATTAGTGGGTCCTGATGAAACTAATAGGACTTGAGTAGAATTTTAGTCTTGGGTTTGGTTTGGTTTTCCTTCCATCAAAATCAGTGATGCTTAATCCACTGACTGGACAAAAAAACCTTGCTAAACTTGGTTCTGACCATATAGTTCACTGAAGGCAATTCACACATTCAGTTCCTAATTAGCAAGTGTACTGAAATCAAGCAGTGTACCTGCATTGTTCTCTGTCTGAAATCATCAAAGATCTTTGGGATGTGGCTTTCATATCGAGCTAAAATATCTATGGATCTGGAGTTCACCAAAGTTTTGTGTTTTTTGAGAAGCAATCATTGAAAGATGTTCAGATTTACCTTAATTCATATGATGTCACTGTCAACCAAAGACTCCACAGAATCAGAGGACTTAACAAGAGTGAATCCCGTTTCCATTAATATTGTCAAGAGCCTTGGCTTTAGCGAGACCTGTCATTTCCTTCTCCGTTGCTGTAGCCTCTGAGGGATTATACTGAACAGGTTTTATACACCGAGGGACTAAAATGAGTTCAAAGCAAATGCGAGACTTAGAAGATAGACATTGACCTTTAAAACAGCTTCAGAATGATTTGATTTGGCTATTTTGCACCACTTCCACCTGTCTGGAGATTGTTTTTCCTTTCAACAAGGCAGAGATAAAATATATATTTTGGAACTATAGTTCTTCCCTCAGTGCAACTAGTCTTTCTGCTGTTGACGTCAATAAAATGATTTGATTTGGCTATTTTGCATCACTTCCACCTGTCTAGAGATTGCTTTTCCTTTCAACAAGGCAGAGGTAAAATATATATATTTCTGAACTATAGTTTTTCACTCACTGCATAGTGCTATAACCACAGAAATCATGACGACAGCGCCCTAGAAATAACGAAAAAATTATGCTATAATCACAGAAATCATGACGACAGCGCCCTAGAAATAAAGAAAAAATTAAAATGGAAAATAAAGATGAGCATGGCAGTAAGAATACCCCAAGAAAAGAATAAAAATCTATGTCAATGTGATTGATCTGCCTATCCATTCCACTAGGGTCTTAAATCGACTTAGGTATGTCAGAGAGAGCCATATTGACTTCAAGAGGACTTCTTGACATGCACGGTCAAATTGATTCAAGTCTATGGTGACCCTATGAATAGGTGACCTAGAAAAATCCTGTTGATAGATAGTTCTTGCAAACTTAAGGCTGTAGCTTCGTTTACTGAATCAATTCTTGGTCTTCCTCTTTTCCTACCGCTTTCCACTTCCCCCAGTAATATTTCCTTTCTTTAATGAGTCTAGTGGCAGTGATATCAATTTCACAAGTTCCGCCGATTTTGGAAATCCATGCGCAGTTGAGTAGAGTATATGTCCAATGTCAAGTGGCCCTCAATAAAACACCCATTGTAGAAATTTACTATGCTCATACTAGAGTTTCTTGAATGGAACATTT